TAAGACCCTACACATTACAAGTAATTTGAAAGTGTTGGTCCATGAAAATGTGGCAGATCTAAGTCATTTACTAACTTGCCACTGTTTCAGCCAAAGCACGAGTATCTGAAAAATGTTGAACAAATACTAGAACTCGGCCTTACCCCATATTTAATTATATGATTAGTATTTTCCAGCATCTCGGCTCAGAAATCCTTTTGGAAGTACCAAAGTTAGGAAGGGACTTATAGAAACTAAGATACCATAAATGACATTGCTTTTCTTTGAAAAGGAATTTTAAAAGCCAATAAAAATGATACAGAATTCCAAAACAAGATATGAAATTAACAGTTGCTATTAGATTGCATATTGTTCTCTTCAAAGCAGTTGCTTAGATTACCAGATGTAGGCATGCAAAACTGATCAAAAATAAGCACTGTTAGTTCCATTATCTTAGCCATCACTTCCCTCCTTCCTTTTTGGTTTTTGGTGGGACCGGGGACTGAAGTCAGGCCTCTGCGCTTGCCAGGTAAGCACTTACTCCACCGAGCCATCTCTCCAGCCCTCCCTCCTTCCTGTTGTCCTATCCCAGCTGTTCTTTCCTTTTGAACAGTTTCTTTCCCCTTCAAAGCATCGATCATATTTTTTGTATCTTATTTACTTGTTCAGTTTCTTATCCTACGGACACAATATGATGTATACACGTCTGATTTCACTTTTGAGTATGGTCTTTAACTGCATCCATTTATCTATAAAGGCCTCAAGTTCATCTTTTTTATAGCTGAGTAATACCCCACTGTGTAAAAATGCCAACAGTGTTTTTTTATCCCTTCCTCAGTTGATGGGCATTTGGGCTGTTTCCAAGATTTAGCTACAACAAACTGCATTGTTATAAACATGGATGCACATACATTGCTGTGGTATGTTTTGAATTCTTCTGGAAAAATACCAAGAAGGGGAATAGCTAAGTTGAATGGGACTTCTAATTCTAGCTTTTTGAGGAGTCTCCACACTGACGTCTACAGAGGTTGCACTAATCTATACTCCCAAAGCAGTGAAGAAGGGCTCCTTTCTCTCAACAGCCAGCCAGCATTTGTTATTGGTTGATTTTTCTAAGCCACCCCAATTAACTCACAATATTTTTAGCCAAAGCCTTCTCCTAAAGTGTTAGGTGCAAATTTCATTGTAGAAATAAGGCCATAAAGAGTTGACTGCCATAGAATAACTACTGTTAGTACTTCATTCTCTACCTCAAGCATTTAGTATAAAAGCTGCACTTCTACTTCACTTATGGGCATGAGGAAAGGTAACCAGTATGATAATGAAATGCTGAAGTTATACAACACAACTTCAAGGAAGAAGAAAAGTTCCTAGATATCCCTTCTTGAACACAACGATTTGTTTCCCTGAGTGAAAAGCTTCCGTTAACACCTCTGCTCCAAGTAACTGGCTTCTTCCTTCTCAGGCTCCAATTATTCAGCACCATGGATTACAATGCTTTTCTGATAAAGGCAGAACTTGTACCTGACTGGCTCTCCAAAGTGAAAGGCGCTTTTGTATTTAGAGTATAACTAGGAGAACAGATACTGCAGGCTCTGAGGAGAAAAAATACAGAAAGTTATCAAGACGGTGATATAAAGAGTTCAGTATCACCCAGAAATAAACAGCATCCTCAGGCTAAAGAGACAAAGAAAGAGGCCCACTTCAGGAGCCCACGATCAGGGTCATATGACAGATGATGGAGCCATGACAGGCCTCTGCAGAGAAAGAAGCCACAAAATGAGCACCAGCAGCAGCAACCTGAGAAGAGAATCAACAGCCTGGTTCTCCCTTTCTCAGACCTTTTGTCAGTGTTTTCCCACTGCGTTCCCTCAATCCAGTATGAGTCAGCTGTCACTGGAGCCTTGGAGGTGGCCTGGATAGTTTACTTTTCCGTACAGAACCAAGTAGAGACAATTACAAATGGATCCAAGATCAAACCAACGAAAACTGGCCTGACTTTCATAAATTTCACACCATAAACATAGCATCATAAATGCATCTAATCATTGCTTTCTTATTAAACCAATCAGCTATAAAACTTCACCTGGGGGAAATGGCTCAGTAGAATAAGGGCTTGTCTGGCAAGCACAAGGGCCTGAATTCAATCCCTGGTTCTGCAGGGAGAAAAAAAAAAAAACAAAAAAACAAAAAAAAACTTCACCAGTACAGTAATACTTCCAGATCATCTTTCAGATTTTGAAATAAAAAACTCCTATAAAATCAACATCCAAGGGCCAGCCAGATAGCTCAGAGGACTAAAGTGCCTGGTCAGGCAGGTACAGGGACCAGGGCTTGATTCCGGTACCACATACAGTGCTGGCCCCGCCCCTGGACGTGGTGGCACACGCCTGTAATCCCAGTGCTTGGGAGGCTAAAAATAGGAGGATCACTACAAGTCCAATCTGTGAAGTGAGACCCTGCAGACCCTGTACTAAATACACCAAAAAGAAAAAACTCAACATCCAGAAATACAAAGTTGTTAAACAACGTAAGTACCCAACTAGTTGGTGTGTGAGAATGTGCAACTACGGTAAAGGCCACCTGGCCACGCTGTCTTCACATGTCTGTGAAGTCTACTTGGAAAAATGTAAAAGTATATCTTCAAAGAAAAACAATATACTCCCTAATGAAATGAAGATGCTAAAGGTCAACATGTAGCATAATTACTTAAAAGTATTCCCAAGAAATGTTTCTACAGTGTTTTCTCTAATCCATCTTTTTGGTATAATCTTTGAAGAAATGTTGGATTTTTAATTACTGAAACTTAATTCATACTTTTCATTCAATTCAAAAGAAAAATTAGAGTGTTGTTATGTATTCTTTGGTGTATGAGAATAAAAAATATGGGGATTAAGAATTGTTAAAAGTCAATCCTACCATTAGCCATCTCCTTCAGAAAACAAAATCAATGGTTCTTATATGCTAAGAAATGTAAATAAACAGCCATTATAGTATGCAGGTTCTCTGAAAGACAAAATATATTATGATAACTGTTATGGTTTGTATGTAGTTGTTCCCACAAAGCCTCACGTAAATCATGGGGAAGTAGCCACTTGAGGAGCAGTGGCTCAAGGGGTGGGGCCAGAAGACCAGAGTGGTGCTTGAGGGGCGGGGCCAGAGAGGCTCCAACCATTACACTGACATCATGCACCTCCCTATGCCCCACCCCCAGGCCTGGTGGCCTCTCTTGGAGGTAAGGAGTGGATCATCTTCAACACAGCAGCACCCCAGCCTTTCTTCCAGACCTTGTAGCGGGCCATGGTAGTGTCTCAAGATCACAGCATGTAATTCATGCTGCTCTAAACTATGAAACCTCTAGTAACTGTGAGTTGAATAAACCTTTCCTTTCCTAAGCTTGAGTGTTGGGTGTATGTCCCAGCAAGAAGAGAAAAGTAACTCAGATGATAACCACCAGGTTTTCCAAAGGACATGAAATCAGTATACCAGTGTATCGGTATACCAAAGAGAGAAGCTGTACTCCACATTCACTGTGGCCAATAATAGCCGACATCTGGAATAAACTGAGAGGTGTCTGCCAACGGATGAACGGCTAAAGAAAATGCATATAAACACACAACAGATTATTAGTCATCACAAACAGTGAAGTCTTGTTATCTGCAGCAACACGAGTGAAACTAGGGGACATTATATTAATTTCAATAAGCCACATACAGAAAGACAAACACCATATCTTTTCACTCCATGTGGAACCTAAGAGCTGTTGGATTCATGTAAGATAACAAAGAGTGATTACTAGAGACCATAATTGGGTGGAGAGTGCAATATAGGGAGATGGGATAAAGCATAACAAAATACAAAAAGTATGGCACTAGGGCCAGGGAGATGGCTCAGTGGAATAAGTGCTTCCCTGGCAAGCATAAGGGCCTGAGTTCAATCCCTGGTTCCACAAAAACAACAACAAAAGTACAGCCCTACTAATACTCTATATGTCAAAAAGGTGGTAACAACACACAACAACTTATACATTTTGTCAGGAACTAGAAGCAAGGTATTCAAAGATCCCCAACAAAAGAAATTATGAGTGTTTGAAGAGAGAAATTCTAATAATCCTGATGTGACCATTACACATTGTGTATGCACATGGGATTACTACCCCAAACTCCCTAAATATTTACATAGAAAAGAAACCACGCACTGTTACACACACATACCACAGAATGTCTACAATAGTCAGTATGTTTGAGTATCAATTAAAAGATGTTACTATATTAATTAGGAATACTTTAAGAATTTAAAATTTCTATTTGGCTGGAATTGTAACTGCTTATTCAAAATATATATAAAACTATAAATAAAATTCATTATTTTAATTTTTTAACAATTCCTTTCATAAAAACACGTTTGCTGAATATAGCTTGAAAAATGAAACTTTCCAAATGGTTAAAGAATCTTTATATATTAGAAGTGTCTATTTTATCTTCATGAAATTGGCATATCAAAAAGTCAAATCAGTAAACACTATTAATCTGAATTTATATACATTTAAAAATATTCCCCTTTCACTCATTTCAACATCAATCTACAAAAGTATACTATAATTTAATTATATTGACAGCAGCAATAAATTCTATTTTCTGTGCAAAAGGACACTGATTAGATAGCCTAAGAGCACAAAGACTGGACATTCAGCACAACAGTAAAGGGGAGACATGCTAACTTCCATGAGGTAGTCCTAACGTGTCCTCAGCAATCCTGGGAGGCTCTCAAGTTCACATTTAGGTCTCTACAAATTTTGAAAGTAGAAAACTAATTATGATTTTAAAGGGAAACTATTTATTCTTCTGTTAAAAACATGACCAGCCAATATAGTACCATTTTAGAATAAACTGTCATAAAATTATTGCTATTTTTCAAATGCTGCCATTTTGCCACTTAATACATTATAATTAAATGTAGAAAAACGCTATTTTATTGGCTGCTTTTCTTTTATCAAAGTAGTTTTCTCTGTGAACACTTACCATCCACTCAGATATAATAATATCCACTTTTTCTACAGGAAGATGAACGTCTTCAATCTTTCCTTTAATGAGTATAATAGTATCTTCAAGTTTATTTAGTCTGAAAATTATCATAATGAATTGCATTAGTATATTAAACAGACTGGGAAAGTTAAATTACATAGTTTTCGGCCATCTTTTTACACTGTTTTGTGTAGCAAAAAGGTGCTCAAAGTTTATCCTGTGTATATAATTAACTGTCGGCTGTTCCATGAATGCTGAACATGTTTCTGATTAATATGACAAAACACTAAATAATGAAAACTTCCCGTTGAAAGAAATAAATTTTACAAAAAGTACCTACAAACCGTTTTTAAAAAAGACAAAAGGTGTGTGTGTGAGGAGGATGCGGACAGACCACCAACAAAAGTGCTGTCTAAAGGGACTCCAACAATGATGTAAGGATGTGCAAATACCGCAAAATCAAATGAATAGAATTAACTTTTTTTCAAAAACAGTACAAAAAGGCAATGTAAGATATCTTATTAAACATTTTTTAAACAGACCACAGGCTTAAATAAAACGTTTGGCTGTACTGAGCTTAGTAATACTATTACTAAAGCCAAGCTAGAAATAACACAAGGGACGTCCCAGTGGAGGAGGAGCCTTCGCCCTCCAGTGCGGACCCTTCGGCGTCTCTCCACGACCTGAACCTCACCGAGCTGGGCACCGAGCTGGGCACCGAACTGGGCACCTCGCAGGCAGCGCAGTGCACATGCTCATAGCTTCACATCTTTGTCAATAATATTATCTTGGGCTGGTGAGCTGGCTCAGTGGTCTAAAGCACCTACTTAGAACAAGCTTAGCAAAGCACAGGGACCGCGGTTCAATCCCCCAGCACCACATGCCAGCCAGCCGTGCCCCCTGGTGGGCTGAGCTGGCCACACACACACACAAAATAAATAAATAAATAAACAAACAAACAAATAAATAAAATTTAAAAAATAATAATAATAATATTATCTTTCAAAAGTTTTAACTGACGGTTAAAGAGCTCGTTGTAGTTATAAATAGCTTCTTCCTGGTACAATGACCAAGCCATCTTTCTATGTGATAACTGGTCCTATTGACACATCTTTATTACACATGTCAGTACCTATCAATACAGCTTTGAAAAGATCACTTCAAAAACTATCAATAGCAAATGGAATTACTTTGGCACCTCTGACAAAAGACAATCATATATACATGAGTTTGTTTGCAGACTTGCAGCTCTTTTTCAGTCTTTTATTCTGTACTTGAAAGATTTTGAAGAGAAAGTACATTTTGTAACAGAAAACAGCAATGTAAGATCACTCCAGAAGGATGATCTTAAGACAAATATTTTCCTCTTCACTTGCCATTCTTTCAATTACTCACATAATATAATAATATCTCCAAATACATGTAAAATGGAATGTAGTGGGTCTTTTGACCCACTTCATTAGATAAACTAAGGGTTTTCTATTGTGTTATGTTTTAGGTTTTGTATTTGTTTTATATTCTATTGTTTTATCCATTTATTTTATGGAAATGGGGTAAAACAAAATTTTATAACTAGCTGCTAGGAGAATAACAATAGTTAATACATTGCTGTGATTATCTTTAAAGTAGTTACTCAAGATATGGGCATAAAAATTCTCCAATCACTATTAACATAAACCTTCCTTTCTATGAACTAAAAGACATTAATAGTATTAACTACCTTGCATTTTTCTTTTTTTCCCTTTCTTTCCCCCATCCTACTTCTCCTTTCCAACCATCTTTACCCATTTCACAGTATCTATTGAACATATTAAGACCATATTTACTCTTTCAGTTTCTCTTATTAAATTCGGTTCTGGAAACATTAGCCAGAGGAATTACACAAGACAGAGAAATGAAAGGAATAAGGATAGGAAAAGAAGAAGTGAAATTATCATTATTCATAGATAACATGATGCTCTACATAAAAGAACCCAAAAACTCTACCAAAAGACTTCTATATTTAATAACTAAATTTAGTAACTTAGCTGGATATAAAGTCAACATTAAAAAATCAATAGCATTCCTGTACACAAACAAAAAACTTGAGACAGAAATTAGGGAAACTATACCCTTCACAATTGCATCTCTCAAAAATGAAATACTTAGGAGTCAATCTAAAACAAAAAGAATATCTATACATTGAAAAATTACAGTAATCTGAAAAAAGAAATAAAAATAGCTATCAGAAAATGGAAGGATAGGGGCTGGGGAGATAGCTTAGCAGTCTTAAGTGCTTGCCAGGCAAGCGCAAGGACCAGGGTTTGAGCACCAACACTGCATGCCATGGAGGCCCTATGCCGAGCCAGCCACCAAAACCAGATGTGGTGGCACACACCTGTAATCCCAGCACTGGGGAGGCTGAGACAGGAGGATCTCTGAGTCCAAGCTGCGAAGTGAAACCCTATACCAAATAAGTAAAAGATTAAAAAAAAATTTTTTAAGAAAATAGGAAGATATCCCTTGCTCATGGGTAAGAACCACCAATATAGTGAAAATGGTCATTCTCTCAAAACTTTATGCATATTTAATGTAATCCCAATCAAAACACTACTTACATACCTCACAAAACAAGACAAAACATCCCTAAAATTAGTTTGGAACCAAGACCTAGAATAGTAAAAGCAATTCTAGGTAGCAAAGACAAGGCAGGAGCCATCAGTCCCTGACTTGAAATTATACTGCAAAGCTACTGTGACAAAAACCACAAGGTACTGGCAAAAAAGACCCGAGAATCAATGGAACAGATTAGATGAAGCAGACAACTCCAAACACACTCAGCCACCTTATCTGACAAAGGGGCCAAACATATTCACTGGAAAAGATATCCTGTTTAATAAATGATGCTGGAAAAACTGGCTTTTCACATGCCAAAGGCTAAAACTAGACCCATTTACTAAAGTCAAAACAGATCGAAGATCTAAATATTAAAACAGAAACCCTAAACCCACTGGAAAAGAATGTAGGTAGAAATCTTAAGCACATAGGGATAGGTAGAGAGTTCATAAACAAAGCCCAATCTGCATGGGAAATACTTCAAAGAATCAACAACTGGGACCTCATCTTATTAAAAAACTTTTGCACACTAAAAGAAATCACTAACAGTGAAACCCACAGAACAGAAAAAAATTTAGCCAATTGTCCCCCAAACAAAGGACTTTAAGAACATGCGAAGAATTGGGGGGAAAAAAAAAAAAATCAGAGAACCTAAATTCAAAGACCCAATTTAAAAAATGACATATGGGATGAATATATGCTTCTTAGATAAAGAAATACAAATGGCAAATAAATATGTAAAAAAATGTTCAACCCCACTGGTCATTCATGAGATGCAAATTAAAACACTGGGATTTCATTTCACTCCAGAAAGAATTGCTATTATCAACAAATCAACCAATAACAAACTCTGGAGGCTCTACAGGGAAAAAAGATTCCTTTTCTTCCTTTGGTGTGAGTGTAGACTACTGCAACCCCTGGAAACCAGCGTGAAGATTCCTCAAAAAAATAGGATGAGAGGTCCAACTCACCCCAGCTGCTATTCCCCTTCTGGCTATCTTCCCAGAAGAATTAAAAACACCAAATCACACTGACATGTGCACCAATGTTTACAGCAGCACAATGTTTCCTAACTAAATCCTGAAAACCCAAACTTCCATCAAGTGAGGAATGCTTAGCAAAGAAGTGATATTTTTATGCAATGGAGTAATACTCAGCTATAAAAAAGATAAACTCAAGACTTTTATAGGGAAACATAACCCGAGGCCATATTCATTAGTGAAATAAATCAGACTCAATGTGTAAACATCATACTGTCTCCTTGGTGTCAGACTTTCAATTGTGTCACACAATTTATTATCCATTTGTCATTGAAATGCCTAAGTTTTGCTCCTCATGGGAACTACACATATACTCTCAGGAGCACTCAGAGGTGGTAACTTTGGCTTCAGCAATGATCTGATGCCCAGATTAGCCAATCAGGCCAAGGCCCAGGGGATTCCCCAGACTTCTCCAGCCTTCTACACAGGCTGAGGCCACGCGGGGGCCGGGGTGACAGACTTCTCCACTGCCAGGCAAGCTTCTCCCAAGACGTGCTCATCAGCAAGCTGTAACTTCACAGGTTGCTTTTCAGAAAAAAACAAAAACAAAACAGTGGGGGTGATAGGAAGACAAAACCATAGCCAGCTCATATAGAGGGGATTTTCAGATGGTCTGAGAAAAACCATATGAAAAAGAAGAAGTAGATCTACTTTCTACAAAGGCATTATCAACCAGAGGCCCTTAGGGACTAGAGGCCATTAGGGTTACACAGGCTTATTGTTTGGCTAAATGACTGCAGAAAATAATAAAAATGATTAACATCTGAAATTATATAGCAAAAGATAGTGACCAAGGTCAGAAGATACACTAGAGAAGAAGAAATTTTTTTTTTTTTTTTTTTTTTTTTTGAAGATATTAAAACAGCAGATTGTGGGGAATTATTTTCTGGGAACATTTATCTCCCAGGTGAACTTTCCACTTAAAGTGACTTAATATCCTTGTAGAGTCTGGGAGATTACAAATAATGGGAATAAACTTTGAGAGACTTTAGCTTTCAAATGCTAAAATTTTTATGGTTCTCTTCTTGCTTTACTGCCCCCTCACTTCCTGGCTTGCATAAAAATAAATGTTTATTATTTATGTACTTGGGATCTTAATACTTAGGGTTTTCTTTTCATTTCTAATTCTTATACTTCTCTTTTATGATCTCCTACACTGGCCAGGATCTCTGTATTACAGTGCTGAATGGCAGGGGTGATGACTGGTACCCCGTCTCGTTCCTGAATACCAGAGAATGTTTTTAACACATCAAGATATTAATTGTGGATCCTATCTTTGTTGATATTCCATATCATATTAGAACATTACTTTCTAGTGCTAGGGTTTTTTTTTGTTTTGTTTTGTTTGCTTCGTTATTTTGGTCCTACAGATTGAACCAAGGCCTCTGCACTGAGCTGTATCCCCAGCCCTATTTTTATTTTTTGAGACAAAGTCTCACTAAGTTGCAAAGGCTGGGCTTAG